CTCTCTCCCCACCATGTCCTGTTCTCCCACTCCCTCCATACCTGTTGGAGACAAGCCCTAAGAAACTTCTGACCTTTTCTCATTCCCCCCACCCTGCTGCACCTGGTTGACCAACATCCTGCTTGACAGTTGCAGAAAGGTGCTAACTGTACCATGACTTCCCGAGATAACTGCAAAGTGTTCCGGGCCCCGGGCCAAGAAGATTTTGTAACTTCCACCTTGCCCCTCCCTGAGTTCAGAAATTCTAGAGTAAGATTTTCCAACCTACCCCTCCCTGAGTGTTCTACACTGTGCTCCTCCCTCGCCCCGCCCCTATCTAAGGTTGGCCTTAAAAGCCTGCTCTGGTTCAATAAAATTTGACTCTTGACAAGTGCACATTTGCTTGAGTCCGTTCTTCTCTCTTGCCCATTTTTCTTTCAGGCCTGGTCCTCTTTGGAGACCCCACGAATTACTAGTCCTGCAGGTGGGTACACATACCCACTTAATAAACCTCTGGCATAGAAGATCGGGCGACCCCAGCCTCATGTTTCTTTAAATAATAACTAACATTGGTGCCGTGACTCGGGAAGGGCTCCCTTAGCTTAGCTAGGGCCCCTTTCAGACTTCGGATAGGACTGTTACAACAGATTTTCTCCTAAAAATCTCTATTTTTCTCTCAACTGCCCTCATGCCCGTGCACAGCCATTTCCCCAGGCTGCTTCTACACTCCCCAGGCTTGGGTCCTTCCCCTGCAGCTGGTGCCCATGCTCCAATCTGGCACCATGGCTGGGGCTCTCTGAGAGGTGTGGCGATGCAGGTCCAGTTCTGGTTCGTGACTGGGGATGCTCAGTGCAGCCTCGGAGGAACACCATCAGGCTGCAGGGGCACACGGCGCCGAGGCGTGTGGTACTGGGCACCCAGCGGCTGCCTGCTCCTGCTGTGGCTGTGCTCCCCTGCCTGCATGGTGACCGACAGAGAGGCCCCACCACGGCCATTGCTCTAGAGTCGTGGAGACGCACACAACACAAAAATCAACTTTGGAAAACTTGGTAAGGAATTTCTAAAAAACCCAGCACAGCTGCAAAACTTTTAAATCTCCCGAGGGATTTTAAAATCTCACGAGATTTTCGGCACCATCTTGGTTTTGGGAGGAAGTGGGCGAAACTGTAGCTTAACCTTTCACTTAATATGGCACAATGCCATCTTAGGTTTGGGCAAAGAGGCCCTGCCTCCTGTGCGCCCTGCAGGAAACCATCTCTCCATGTGCTTCCCCCTCCCCCACCAAGCTGAGTTTCACTTCTGCTACTATGGTGCCTGCTACTGCCTTCTCTCTCTTGCTATGTGTTTCCCCCCACCACCACCAAGCTGCTTTCATTTTGCTTCTAGCCCTATTTTGCTTCTAGCCACGTGCTTTCTTCTAGGAGGCTGTTTCCAAGCTTAAAAAAAAAAAAAAAAAAAAAAAAAAAACTTTTCTCCCTGATTTATGTACACTTCTTTACTCTTATATTTTAAATTCCTTACCTAATGCTTTATATAATTTTCTCATTCAGTTTGCATTTATAAGTCTTAATCATAATTAACTGTTTATCTTATCTTTTAGACTAGGCAACAACAACGAGCCTCATTTCAAGTTGGTATGGATTTTTATAAAAATTCAAAGTTACATTTTACTATCTTATGATTCAACCCTGCTTCAAATAAATTTTATATAATAATAAAATTTTAAAGTTATAAATATCTATTCAAATTAAGTTGGTTTATGTGTTGTTCAAATATAATTTTAAAATTGCTTTATACTGCTCTGCTCAGGGGTTCATTAGTACGTACAAGTTGTTTACCAATATTCTAAATTAATTTCTATTAATTTTAGAGGTATTTATTTATGTTAAAACTGGGTCAATTTGCTGTATCCCTACTATCAAAGGGTTAGAATATACTTGCTTAATTTTAAAATTGGTTTATACTGTTCTGCTAAATTGTTGGTTTTAAACTTATAGCTCAAGAGTTCATTATTATGTACAAATTGTTTACCAATATTCTAAATTAAGATCTATTAATTTTTAAAAATATACAATTATAATAAAACTGGGTCAATTTACTGTATCTCTGCTATTAAAAGGTTAATATAAGCTTGTTCTTGTTCTCTTAAAATTGTTGTTATTTATCTGTAGTATAGCCTTACACTATTATAATCTATAAACTTTTATATAGTAAATCATACAAAAACTCTTGTGCTCTCACTTTAATAGATTATATTCATGACTTTTAAGATTATAACTTAGCAAGGACAAAACCTAAAGTCCTAATATTTAATGGTTAACAAATGCAAGTTAATAGTCATCTCATAGATACACATTTATAGTCCTACAGATGCAAACATGGTCTCACTGCAATTTTTAATAAACACCTGAGGATGGTCGTTGAGTCACCATATAGGAGTTGGTAAAAATAGTAAGAGCCATCCCACCTGGCTCTAGATCTTAGCTGCTGCACTCTGAGACTTCTGGCATTCCCACAAAAAAGGGAAGAGGTTTGCATAGCCAAAAGTCTGTTGCCCCAGGTGACATTTTCAAATGTATCCAAGTGGATGCTGGTCCCGCTGCTGCTGCAACATTCCAAAGCTGGCTGCTGGAAAACTGGCCTCTGGAAGTCAAAATGCCCCAAGCAGGCTTGTCCTCTGTGCCCAGCCATGGAGGTTCAACCAGCACAAGAGCCACAGACACTTCCAGCCTTCTAGCTCGTTGGCCTGGCGGAGGACGAATGGCTCCTTTACTTAGCAACCTCCACAGCTCTCGCACAGGTCTGTTTTTGACCTCAGAATGAGATCCCACGGACATATTGCCAACTTTTGTGTTGGGAGACTTCAGGTGCCTTCCCAGTTCTCTTTATATGCAGGAGACAACAGGCCTTAAGCCTAAGCACTAGAGCTGCTATTTTCAGGCCTAACACAGTCCAGACTCAAGAAACATGCCTAAAGGTATATAAATACAAGTTTTTCATGTTTAAGAGTCTAAAAATGTGTCTTAAGGGTGGTAACACAACTTAAAAATGTTTGAGGGCCTAAAAAATATTTTAAAGTTGGTAAATGCAAGTTATAAAGGTTACAAGGTGTAAGGTGATTTAAGGTATCTTAAATAGGTAAAAAGGCTTAATGTTTCCTCCTGTTGTTATACTACTGTTGTATTGACTGTCCAGGGTAGGTAAAAAGGCTCAGTATATCTTTCTGTTGTTATGCTACTGTTGTATTGACTGTCCAGAGTTTTAACCTTTATCAATAGAGCTCTAATTTATTACTCTGACTCTGATACAAAAACATTCCACTGTACCATGTACTATTATGGTTCTAAACTCAAGATTGTAAGCCTCCATAATATGTATACTTATACTAGAAGTTAAGATCAAGTGAGTTTCCCTTTTACTTGATAAAAGGCTATTGCATTTTCAGAGCTCACTTTAAAAAATACTTATGCTATTAACACAAATATGTATGTCTACTGCCTTTTTCTACAATGCAGAGTACAATTGTGATACTAACATGTCTAAAGTTTTATCTCTGTCTTAAAACTTAAAAGTAATTCTTGTAAGCTGCAGAAAGTCCACCTAAATCCACCTCTCAGGTCAATTGGACTCCAGCTAAGTACTGCACTTATTGCCTATCTCAAAAGGTGGGACTCCTCCCCTTTCCCTGGTTTTGGGACTTCCTTTCCTGGCTACCAGACTGCTATTTACTGTATGCAACACTGGCTGAATTGGTGAGTCCTCCTTATTGACCAGCCACTAGATTGGTGAGTTCACTCCATTTTCTCAGCATAAACACCTCTCTTGGTAGGGGAAGCTTGATCGCAGAGCTCTTGCAACTTCGTACTATCTTTGAGATGGAGGGACCCTCCCAGCTGTAGCCTTAACTGTCTAGGTTTGACCCTCTATCCTGACCTCCATTTTAGGGCCTCACTCTCCCTTGAGCGGTACATCCCCACTCACACACAGTTCCTTTCTCCCCCCCCTCTCTCTCACTCACTCGCTCATGGCAAGACCTAGCACTAGGTGAACCTTTGTGCCCCAGCCGTGCCCCAGTGGGCATCTGCACCCCGGTCCCTGGCCAAAAGCTGATGAGCTATTGGACCAGGTAGCACCCCTTTCTTGGAGTCACACCTTGCCATTGGGACGCCTCTAGAAGGTCGCTGACTTCTGCCCCCAATGGGAGATGCCCAGAGGCCCATCCCTCCAGATAGGATGTCCTCCTGAGAATTTTAAGTTTCTAAACCTAGTGCCAGCTGGCACCAGGGCCTCTAAGTTTACATGCTTCTGTAACCAAACCTCATCTCAATGACAGATTGAAAACAAAGCCTTCTTTAAATATTGCCAGTGATTGGGTAAATAAAGTTCCCCCCAGGTACACAGAGGTTCCCATGTTCAAGTCTCATTGATCCAAACCTTCTATTTCTGTTTGCTCTCCCAGAAGTTTTCAATGTATACCTACAGGATTTTTTCTATAACCTACTCAACTTTATTTTTGCCTATATATGTGTTTCACTGTCCTGCCAGACACAGATGTTTACTATAGCCACAACAGTGCCAAAGCAGCTACAGGTGTTCAACTCTGACCTCATGGACTTCCAACAAGCTGCAGGTGTTCAACTCTGACCTCACAGACTTCCAACAAGCTGGACCTGCACCTTCTTTCCCAGCCATGGATATTCTTGCAGACCCTGGAAAGCATCAATACAGCCTATTCTTCCTGGACTTGGCCAACATTTCAGCCTTTTGATCTCCCTACAGCACCCCCAGTGTAAGGAGGAAGTATCCAGAAGAGAATCTATGCCCATTATTGACTTGTTGTTAACAAAAGGCTGAAATGGTGTGCTTCAGGACTGGGACAGGCGGCTCCAGGTTCTTCTTCCAGCATTCCCCAATCCCTACCTGTTGCCTTGCATGGCTGACAACTCTTTATTGACAACCCTCTACCCTAAAATTTCCAGGGCAGAGGCTTCCCTTACTCTTGACCTTGCAATATGACCATTTTGTTGCTATAATTCTCTCTTTCTCAACGCCTTACATGACAACCAAGATCTGCTTCCAATGAGCCTAAATTTATATACTTTAACTTACCTTATAAAAAGCAGCCCAGGCTCCCCATTTTTTAATTATAGAAAAAGGGAGGAATGTTAGTATTTTGGAACACAACCTGCTCCTGGGTTACCCAGCAACTTATGATGTCATCATGTGTCGCCGGCCAGGTGGCCACACCTGGAAGGCAAGGTTACCTTGCCCCTTAAAGGGCCAACCCCAAAATGTGGTCTCTCTCTCTCTCTCTCTCTCTCTCTCTCTCTCTCTCGGTGCCCCTCTTTCTTTTTCTCTCTCCCCACCATGTCCTGTTCTCCCACTCCCTCAATACCACTTAATAAACCTCTGGCATAGAAGATTGGTTGACCCCAGGCTCATATTTCTTTAAGAACAGGGTGGAGGTGTCAGCCTTCATGAAACTTTAGGCAGCAATTAAACAAAGCCCTGGGTACTTGGATTATCTCAGGTTCTGCACCTCTGAGGAGCCCACTGACTACCACACTTTTCCTCTCTCCTAGGCCTTTGAGATCCTCAGTCTGGTCTAGTGGAATCTCCAGAAATGTTGCAGGGTATTCACCAGAGAAGATGGCTTGGACATAGGCTTAAGCCCATAGAAAGCCTTTATTAGCTGGTGGGTAACTACACTGCATGCTCAGGATCCCAGCATAGCACTGAGTCTTCTTCAGGGTGATCTTTTAAACAAACCATATCTTGGGCTGACATGTTTCAGTTAACATGAATGGTTAGCTTTTTTAGCTTTTTTTTTTTTTTTTTTTTTTTTTTTTAGCTTTGGCATGTGGTGCTGTCTACATGCTGAGTTAGAGCCTGAATGGCACTTCCATCAGGAAGTCAGCTGTGCTAAAGTCTGGTGCCCTGTTACATTCAATCATTGCTACTGCATGTGGAACAATAAACACATGCCAATATTTGTCTTGGTCTCGTTTTGTTAATAAAAGTATTTGGTAATCAAGAATCTCTTCACACATGAGCAATATTGGTTAATAATTGGCTAAGAAGAAGAACAGTGAGTTAAATGATTTACTGGAAGAATTTCGAGGAATCTGCATGTGCTTACAAATATACCTTAAGTAACTCGGTCACCCCACCCCAGACCCTGGTGGTCTCTGTTCTTTTCTCTTTCCCAATCTTTCTGTCTCTCTTCCTTCCTCCTTTCTTTCCTTCTCTTCTCTCTCCCTTCCTCTATCTTTCATCTCTTCCTCCCTCTCTCCTTCTCTTTCTCTCTCCCTTTCTCCCCTTCTCTCTCTCTTCTTCTCTCCTCCTCTCTCAGCCTCCCCTTCTCCTCTTTCTCTCCCTCCCCTTTCTCTCTTCATCCCTCCTCCCCCTCTCTCTTCTCTCTCTCTCTGTGCTCAATGCTTGTGCATGTGTATGCGAATGTGACTGTAAGCGTTTATGCATGAAGAGTGAACTAAGAACACTTGTGGGAATAAGAGGACAATTTGCATGTGTTAGTTGTTCTTTTTTTTTTTTTTTTACCATGTTGGTCCTTGGTCCTGGGCATAGAACTCCAGGCAACAGGCTTGACTTTTATCCACTATGCCATCTTGCCCACTGGTATATATTTGACATAGTGATATTAGAAAATAAAAGGAGCAGAGTGGAAATATTCCTGGAAAGAAGTATGAAAGTAATGCAGTACAGGTTCCTATGAGAATTCTACCAAGGAGTTTTTAAGAGAATGTTTCCAAGGAAGACACAGAGCTTTCATTCCACCAGCCTTGAAATATAAATTTGTGTGAGAAATGCATCAACAAGAAAATCTCTTAAATCGGATCCTAAAATTTCTCCAAGCACTGATTACCTTTACTTCAATGCTAGCTCACAAAATATTCTGCTTGCCCAAAGGAAAACAGATACACATATTCACTGCTAGCAGAGGCAGTCAACATACAGTTAATATTCCCAGTAGTTATGAACTAGAAAACAAAACACTAGATGTGAGATTGGTAAGAGGACTTGAAGTGAAAGCTGCTGTGATACTTTAAATCTTTGAAACATAGACCTTTACTCCATGTCACAAAACAAATTACTGGTGGTGAATTTTATCGTCTACAAGTTAGCATTTAGAAATGTAAAATTAATATCATCACTTAAAGCACATGTTTATTCTTTGCAGAGATGTGTCTAAGGTAGAGTTTTAAATTATTGCCTTTTCTTTACATTTCGGTAATGGCTTGAAAGTTTATTTCTTATGGGCAAAAGAGAACATCAAATACATTCATGCCCATACAGATTAATAATTTAGAAAACGTTGTTTCCTAATAAAATTACAATGAAAAAATGATGATTTCAATGTTCCTGTTTCAACACCATCCCTTTCTTAGCTGTGAAGAATTTATCAAAGTGAAACTTTAGTAGGACACTGTGTTCTGCCTTGCCATTCACATTGCTTTGGTTACTTCAGAACAATTAGGTTTTGCCATCATTTTACAGTTATGAAAGAGGTCTGAGTATGAACACAAAATTAATTTGTCTAATGTCGCACAGCTGAGTAGTATAAGAAGGTTTTAGACTATCAATTTGCTTTTAGGCTACTAAGTTCTCCACTTCCTGTCATAGTATCATCTGTATCAGCACAAATGTTCATAAAATCTTCCATAGGTTTTATATTTTACATTCATGTAAATTTCCCACAGTTGTCAGTATCACTTGAAAAATTCTACTTATCCCAATTTCAACATTTACTAGGAATTCCTGGAGGCTTCCCTGCAGAACAGAAGAACCAGTTATTCTATGCTTCTCATTTCCAGTAACTTTTAACACACCTATTTTGTAGTTTTGGTTTTTTTTTTTTTCTGATTGCAAGCAAGGAAGAAAGATGTCCTGAATTGTAGAAATAAGCAGATAAACAACTACCAGTTTTATTAATGTCAAGTCAAGGAGGCTATGAGGCGGTTCTGTGGAGTAATGACTTTTATCTTTAGAATGAAGCTGGGAAATAAACTAAGACATGAAAAACACAGTGTCCAGAACAATCAATCAAAAGCATGACAAGACCCTGTTGGGATAAGCTCTAGCTATTTCTATTCTTAACATGGAATAGTCTAGCTAGCAGAATCTGAGAACCAGAGATAAAAAGGAGAGTTCAACTCCCACCTATCATGTTAGTTTTCTATGAGACCCTTAACCCTATATGCTTTGTTACCTCCGGATTTTGAGCAGTGCCATAGCCCAGAATAGGCATGATGCAACCATCATTGAGTCTCACACAGTGCTGTTTAGAACTCATTGCTCGCTCTTCACTCCTCTGATTGTGCAGATGCTGTAATTTTTTTCTTTCAGTTATAGATGGTTCTAAAAAGAAGGGCAGAGCTTCACCCCTAGAAGCTGTTTAACCAAAAGTTAAACATTATGGGAGGAGTGAGGTTGATACAAAGTAACTACAGGTAACAGTCGGAATCAGTTTGACTTACGTGATTTTGGTTTCTTTCATAAGTTAGAGCCACTGACACTGAAACTACTAGTTTTAAATAACTTTCCTCTTCATGGTCTTCATATTACTATACTAATTATAACATTGAATAATTACCAGCAGTTTGAAACTGTCACAATTGTTTTAACATTTATTTTCTCTCTTTCCTCTCTTCTCTCCCTACCTCAACCCCTGTGCATGCAAGTGCACATGGCAGGGGGACATAGACATCATATCCCTTGAAGCTGGAGTTATAGGTGTTTGTGGGCTGCATGATGGAGATGACTGATTTCAACTCTGGAACTCTGAAAGAAAGCAAGCTCTGTTAACCATAAGCCATATTGCCCACACCAGAATTTTTTGCTCTTGGTGGAAAACTTTTTGCATTATAATGAATTTGATTATTACCATTGTATAATCCATGAAAAATTCAAAATAAAGAAAATATGTTAAGAATTTTTTATGTCATGATTCTTTAGGGTCCAAAATTAAATAAAAAAAAAAAAAAACTAATTTTACAACTATGTGAAAATATTTTCAGTATTTTCTTTATTTTTCTTACCAAGAAATTGTTCAAATATACAGCAGAGAATCAAGCAGCATAGAAGGTATTTAGTGAATGGTAGATTATTAACAATGGTTGGAAATCATTGCCAATGTAAACAGAATCCTAGAACTGAGTATTTCTTTATCATAACAGAACTGCTTGAAAGTAAGGAGATGAGGGTGGGAGGGAGGGAGGGAGGGATTGGGAAGGGAGGAAAGAGGAGGCTACAGCTGGAATACAAAGTGAATTAATTAATTAATTAATATAAAAAAGTACAAGAAATAATTGTGTAAAAAGACAGATGTGTTGTGGGCTTGTCATACACATCAGCATTTATGCTGTCCTCCTGCACAAAGAATGTTGACCATATTATTGAACCAGAGCAAACCATTGTTCTAGTTCCTTATGTGGCACAGGGCGGGTTTCAAAAACTTAAATAATGGTAATAAGAATAACGGAGTTTACTTGAGACTTCAAAGTTGATGAAATACTTTCATTCAGTCCCTCAATCTTTATTTTTCAAATGTTAGTCTCAATTAGGTCTGGGAAAGGGAAGAATTGGCTTTTGGTTTGCTTGTTTGTTTGAGTGACCTTTGATATTTCTGATGCTGCTGGTCTAGGAGGACTCTTAGGGATTTCTGATCCAGAACGGACATTAGATTGAGTTTTAGGTATTTTCAGAATCTCATTTAACAAGCCTAGAATTTCTGCATTTCTCTCCAGGGCAGACCAGTACTCCCCGGTTCTCTTGGATTCTTCAGTTCTTTATGGTGGGTCCAAAAACTGTAAACAAAGTCAGGCCTAGATTGTTTTGTGCTATCATCTTCAGCATAGGATTGTGGCTCTGCCAAAGAGTTTCAGAGATAAAGACATCAAAGGGAACTTTCAGGTGATGTGGCTGAGCTGTGAGTAGGATCACTTGCATAGTATTTCTTACCTGTG